ATAATTTCAAGTCCACTAGCTGATTTTGAGAAAACCAAACCAATCGGATATAACAGCATCGTGACTTACTTAATTAAAACACCAAAATCTATTGTCATCAAAACTAATTTAAGAAATAAAATGTTGTAGTTTCACAAATGCCTCCCTTTGTTGTTTTAGCTGATGAAAGGCCTGATTAGCTGCGCAACACTAATGGCACAATCAGCTCATATTACTGTTCAATCTAATTTAATAAGAAGATGTAGTGTTGTACTACTGTATTGATAATTCCAAATTTCTTTTAGTAAGTGCTTTAATTTGATTATTTATACCTTATGTCACTAATATTGTGATTGAACTTAATATGGTAATTGCATTAGTTGGAACACTTATCATGGGATCAGACAGTATTAATGAAATGGGAAAAATATCTCGTCCTTAAGACATGAGAGTTAAAGGTATGTCCGTTGCGTACTTTTTCTTTGTTCCTCTTTGGTTTGGGACAAAACTAGGCAAAAGAAAAACCTACAAACAAAGCCTAGGGGAGTGTAGACAAGAGTAAGAGAGAACCAAGCCAACTAGGGCCTTACATCATAAATTTTCTTCTTTCTTATGTGCATTACTTTCTCTATGGCAAGAACATAGAAAAGGACTCACACCATTGCGACAGTTGGGGACTTGCCCTATTTTAGTATTTCTAAATACATTTGTTTTTTTCTTTGGATTAGTTTTTAAGAATTTAAGTTTTGCAGACTATCTTTGGATTTTAGTAGCAAACTTGCATTAGTATATGTTTTAATTTAAATAATGCTCATACACTGCATATACCTTTTAAATAATTCACATTTATGAATTAACTCAAAAATATATATTGTTTAAAAATTATTTCAATATCCTAAAAAAGATGATATGATAAATTTAAATACATTTCTACAATCGCCGCAAATTTCACTAGTTAGTATAAATAAAACGTAGAGTAATAGTGCTAGTGTCAATAAGTAGTAATAGGGTCAGGTGAATGAGTCTATAATAGAAGTCAAAAAGAAAGAAAAGGAAAAGGAAAAAAGTATCTTTGTGCATTCAAAGACAAAGCAATAGTAGTCACATTCACGTGAGTGTAAATAAGTGGTAATTTATAGGGTTAGGTGAATGAATCTTAAAAAGAAGTCAAAAAAAAAACAATATGGTTATTATTCCAAGACAAAGCAATACAGTAGTCATCACAAGCATCATGTGATGACTGAAATATAATAGTATCCTCGTGAGTGCGCTGTGCATGGTTCTCGTGAATCAAACTCCTATATATAGTAAACAAGTTCTTCAACAATTTCCCATCCTACCATCTATCATGGCAAACGAGTTCCATGGATCTTCATTAAGGAGCTCTTCTCCCAACAACCCTAAGTTCATCCAAATCATTACTTCATTAGATGAATTACGCCGTCTGGTAAGTAATTAGATGTAATTTTAGTCCTTGTAAATTGTTGATTTATTCCAAGATATAAGTTAAAATAATTGTGTTTGTATGAAATTAAATTTGCAATTTCTTTTGCACACGGAGGATTCCAGTAGTATTTGCCAAAAGACACTACGAGAACATGTTAAACCCCGTGTTTCTTGAGGCTCCCCATGGAAAAGCTTGGGAGGTTGAAGTGGAAAATTCTCAAGGCCAAATTTGGCTAGCCAAGGGATGGAGTGATTTTTGTGACTATTACTCAATAAGCATCAAGAGCGTATTAATGTTCACGTACAACCCGCGTTGTCAGTTTTCTGTCGCTATATATGATCAGAGTAAAACAGAAATTGAATATCCAATAGATCAAGATATTGAATCAGATGAACAAGAGGAAGATATTCTATTTGCCCAAGCTAATGCTAATATCATCGAAGAAGATATTCTAATTCTCCAATCTAATGCTAATGTAATCGAAGAAGATATTCCAATTCTCCAATCTAACACTAATGAAATCGAGGATGAAGAGGAACATATTCCTGTTAATTGCCCTCAAACTAATGCTAATCTAATTGAGCAACGTAAGTAAACATCTTAAGTGCTTTATTAGCCATTAATTATGTGAATTTATTAGTAGAATATTGTACTAATTGTTATACTTATGTCAAGCTGTTGTAGATAAGGAGGTTAGAGAAGCTAATAGTATAAGTGAAAAAGTTGGTCCAAATAATTATAGCAGTCGATACAGTTTGGTGGACTTAACTGGTGACAATCCGTTTTTTGAAATGGTTATAAAAAAGTCACATGCTACTTGTATGGTAAGGTTTAATAGTTTTACATTGTGTTTTTAAATTCGCTAAGTTTGCACATTCTAGTTATTTCCCTGAAAATCTAATAACCCTGTTTGTTTGATAAATATGTTTTTAGGCTATCCCGTTGAGATTCGCCCAACAAACAGACATAATAAACATGAAGAATATGAGGTTGGTTAATGAAGAAGGAGTAGAATGGAAAGTGGAAATAGAGTATGCTAGGAGTATGGTTATCATAAAAGAAGGATGGACTGCCTTTCGAAAAGATAACAAAATAGCTAATGGTGAAACTTGTCGCTTCAAGTTGATTCGGGGCCCCATTGCAAATGTTTTGCAGGTTCAGAAGATCCCAACACCCCTTTGCTTGCAATAAATTAGATACAATTTTTTTGATTGCATTTTGGCTATTTTAGTTTGTCTTATTAAGATGCTACTTGTACTTAATTTGCTAGGGTATCAAATTTCAGATAGCTTTTTTGCATAAATTATCTTCTTATAATTGCAAGTATATGTATTCAACAAGTCCTCAAGTAAACATTTTATTTTGTAAACGTTATGGAATGTAACTCTTGGATGGTTTGGCATATATATGTTTAAATGTTTTTTTTCTAATCGTCACTTATTTAAAGCAAATTAATTACTATTTTGCAGCTTTGTGAACCGTTATAAGTCACAATGAAAGAAAAGAGAGAGAAAATCTACCTTATCACTTAGTTTAATATTGCGTTC